ACGCACTCGTTTAAATGTATCATTGGAAGCGACGCCGACGAGCATTCTGACTTCCTGCGTGACGTATGTATTTTCATTTGTTGCATTCGGGTACCTTTCCCTGAAATTTAGAGTGATTTTTTACGCTGTGATTCGAAAGCAAATAATTCACAAAAGCGCATGCTCGCAGCCGAAACGGGCTAAATGCTGCAGGTATTTATGCCAGATGAGGTATTTTCAAAATTCGAATATTTGGCCATTTTCATGGAAAAAGGGAACAGTGGCACGCTTCAGAGAACCGCGCGAACATGCCTTTCTGCCACAGTTTAGATAAAGCTCAAGACTGCTGCTGCAATCGAAATTGAGCATATAATAAGGAATTGTTCTGATATTGACTTCTTTGCGCATAGGAGAGGATTGCACAGAGTGAGGTTTGCTGGTATGGTGACGTGCAAGGGGATTAAATTCGAAGGTCTGCTGCTCCTGTAAATCTGGAAACTTAAACTTTTAAAATCAGAATTTTCGACTGTCGCGGCTTATACGATTCACTTGTGTAACTAGCTCGATCTAGGCCGGAAGGATTAGTTTAATTAATGCTGTTCAACTAGCTTTCGTATATGCAGTTTGCGTATTGTATCTCCGAAGAAGCACTGCCCACGCGGACTAATTAATGCGGGTCACTGTTTGAGTTAAAAATCAAATTGGCTTTAATTTACCTTAAATTGGAATGGACTGGCCTCATGTAATGCAGCGGCTGCTTCAAACGTTCATTTTTATTCATTGATGCGGCAGCGATTTTTCCGTCTTCATACATTTTCTTCTCTCGCAAAAATCTGCAATATTTTCATTATTGTAAAATAAATTAAATTATTTGCTCAAAAACGTGCAGCCCAGGAAGGAGGGACTTGCTAGAATTAGTTTATGAAGGCACAGAAAACTGAATAACCAGCTGGCTGCCTGGATGGCTTTTTAAATGCTCTGGGACTTGAAATTATGCCAGTTCACTGTAAATTAAATTCGAAGTGTTTGCTCCTGTCGGTCTGGAAATTCAAATTTTCAAAATTATTTCACAGATTTCGGATGTCGCGGCTTTTATTTTTGATTTATACAAGTATCGATCGAACTGGTTCGATTTGGACTGAAAAGAACGTCGTATACTTACTTTGAGCGATAGTAGCAGAGAATGACGGCGAGTACAATCAGCAGT